CATCATCATCATCATCATCATCATCATCATCATCACCACAACCTCCCTCTCCAGATCTCCAAAATAGAACCCCTACCACCACCCCACTCTCAAATCCACCCCACAAACAACCATACAACTCTCTCTCCCTTTACCAGAACCCATGTATAGAGATTTCAGCATAGACCCCAACCATCCATCCAAGCAACATCAGCCCCAAAACACCACAAAACAACGTCACCCAAACAAAGTCCCCAAAACCGACATCCACCCCGCCAACCACCATGCCCTACCCCGTCGACGATTGATCCACGGACCCGGGGCAGGCGGCGGTGTTGCGGCGATGCAGGTGCCTCCAGTGGAGAGAGGAGTTGGTGGAACGGTTCATGGCCCCGGGGGGGGGTAGCTCTACTTCCAGTTTTGGGATGGAGATGGTGGTGGAGATGCTTGTAGGGACCGCACTGTACGGTACGGTACTGTAGCAGGCGTAGGCCTCCTCCCCATAGCCAGTGGGGGAGGGATAGGAGCGTTGAGAATCGCATAGCTGGCTCGAAATGAGACCATTCGATTGACTTGGTTGAATTGTGGGTAAGTTGTACCCGAGTTTCCGGAGATTCTCTCAAGGAACTGAACAAAAAGAAGACTATCATCGTATAAATCTCCCATCTCACCCACCCACCAAAGAGATGCAATCAAAGATGCAACCAGGCAACACGCAAGATCAACCTCCAGTCAACTACAACATCAATCCAAGCTGATAGCACCTATCATTGCTGTTCAATGTACACGACCCCATGGCCCTTATGTAACATGTAACACTAAGAATATGATAGCATGATCATCATCAACCCAGCAACAGCAACTTAAATAGTAATGGCAATAGCAACAAGCAAAGAATGAATTCAGATAACCGCCCCTGGACCATGCCACCCAAGCCGACCCATTGCTCATGACCACATGAAAGAAGAAAACCCCCGCAGAAGATCAAAAACCCCAGTGAACAAGTGAAAAGAAAGACGAGATAGGTATTTTGATCTGCATCGTATCATCGTAGTCAAAGGAATCAAAGAAAGAAAAAAAAAAAGAAAAGAAAAGAAAAGAAAAAAAGCCGCCCATACCTCCTCTAGAGCGATTTCTTCATCCGGGTAATCATCCACAGCATATATGCATAGTCTATTCCCAAATTGCCGCCCTTCTGGAGAATAAAAAAATCGTATAGAAAAAAAGTGGGTTAGGGAGAAGTGAAGGCTAAACGAGCGAATACAACATGAGACAAGACGAAAGAGAAAAATCAGATCTGAGGTTGCGCGGGTGGTGCCGTGGTCCACGTCGACACTGGATACCCGGCGTGTGCGCCCGGGGCCGTGGCCCCCACGTAATATTGATGTCGGTCCCCGCCCGTGTAGTAAGGCGTAGGAATAGGGCCCGACTCCCGACGCGAAATGCCTGGGTCAAATCCCCCAAGCCCCCGGTGTTCCAGATGCTGATGTGACCCGTCAAGCGGGCCCAGACTGAAACTCCCGCCCCGCGAGTATGTAGCAGGAGTCGAGGGATCGATCGGTGACGTTGCGTCCGTGGCCACGCTGCGCGAGGATATCGATGAGTTGCGGTAGGCGGACGGGCTGTGGTCGGAATGGGATCGGTTGCGGTCGCTCAAGGAACTCGGCATGGCCGTGTTGAGAACCGACGGGATTGACGAGGATAGAGGGTTGTGGCCGAGCGCATCAAAGCTGGTGCCATACGAAGGCTGTCGGAACTGCGTGTAGTCCTCCGGTTTCTGTGGGATTTGAGTAGGGGCGGATGGTGCAGGCAGATATGGATTGGGGGCGGATTGTGCCGGAATCGACCCTCCCATCGAGTATCCAGGTATTGGTGTGGACTGGGGCGGATGGATCGCCGCATAAGGCGGGTGCATGTAGAAGTCGGGATGCGAGTTCGTCATTGCATAGCCTGGAGCGTGAGGTCGGTAACCGTATAGCGCATGCGACGGGTCATTCGGATTCTCCAACCCTCCAGTTTCCACATCATCAATGGGGGCCCGGAAGCTTTGCTTCTGCGTTAGTTCTGCACGGGGCCGGATATATCTCAGCGATTCGACCACCGATGGCGGATTCAGCATCCCTCGGAGCACATCGTCCACGCTGTAATAAGACACCAGGTGATGCGTCACTCCGGAGACCGTTACGCTCATCGTCTTCTTAACCAACCCCGAATCCTTAAAACCGTACGAATCCACCAGCGAGCCCACCAGCGCACGTTCCACGTCGGACTGATGCGGTCTATCGCCAAAAGGCCCGGTTGTCGAGGAAGGAGAATAGCCTCCGTTACTATCCTGTCGCGGATACGGCTCCCCCGGTCGCGTCGACGGCACCGGGCGCCGATTGGCCTTCTTCATCGCTCTCTTCTTCTCCCCTGGCGGAAAGGGCTTCTCCAGCTCTCGGTACACCAGGAAGTTGCCCAGGATACGACTGGGACTCCAAGTCACCCCATCCGTCCATCGCTTGATCCCCGACGAATTCTCCTCGTAGATGAAGACGCTGCCGCTGCGAACGAGGTGGCTCCGTTCCCGATCGTGGGGGCGACGAGGGACATGGTGCAGGACGCCTGTGAGACAGGCTTCAAACAGAATCAGCGCATCCTGTGTTGTTGCAACATATCCCATAAAGGTGGGCTCCAGCACCGTGGTGGTGCCGTTGACCATTGTTTGCCTTTGTCTGAAAGTTCGAACCTAGTTGAAAGGGGGTCCAGGAGGTAAATCAGATCAAAGTTAAGGCCACCGAAGATCAAGGTTTCCCAGCAACACGGCTAGGTCGACCGGGATGTTATCACTGGAAGTTCGGGTTTCCCCAAGCACGAAAAGGAAAGAACAGCCGTGAGGAGATTTGAAGTATAGAAGGAACGAATTCGGGATAACAGCTGCCAAAAGGCTTTGCTCGGGACTTTGTGCTCGCTTCCACTATTTGATGTCTTGCCAGTATGCGGGAGACACACACACAAGCACACAAGCAGAAAATGGCAAAGCTTCAAGGTAATAGCACCAAGAAACAGGGAGGGGGAGGCGAAATTAACCTTTAGGGGAGAGTAGGCGGGGGGAAGGGGATTAGGTTGGAGGAGGGGAGGGGGGGGAGGGGGGTGGTGGTGGTGGAGGGTAGAGAGTAGAGAAGCAGTTGGTGGTTGGCAGTAAGGAAAGGAAAGAGTCGGAGAGAATGACAAGTCGAGAGTCGAAAAGAGCTCACAGTCGACGGGCGAACCGTAGAAAAGGGTCGATGGCGCAAGTTTAAAATCCCCCTCTTTCTTGAGCTGAGTTTAAGGACCACCAGACTTGGGTGACCCGGATCGACAGCGAGCACGGGCCCGTCCTTTCTCAAATCACTCCTCGTAAAAGAAAGGTGGAAAGGATGGAAAAGGTGGAAAAGGTGGGAATCTGGAGAGAGAGCAAGCGTCTGGCCCTAGCGACTTTCTGGGTCGACTGGAGCTGCGGTTCCACGGATAACGATCGGATCGAGGAGTAGGTAGGTAGGTAGGTAGGTAGGTAGGTAGGTAGGTTGACTCTCCAACCTGACCAAGTCCAAAGCTGCGGCAATTCCCAAGCTTTCTGCTGGCAAGTCGAAGCCCGTTTTGACAGGGAGTTTAAGTCGCTTGGTCCAGGGTTGAATGGTGAACTCAATTGATGGCCGATCAAGCGATCAAGCGATCAATCAAAGTGAGTGAGTGGGTGGGTGAGTAGAGAGAAGAGGGCAAAGAAGCACACAACACACCAACACCCACACAAAAATAAAGAAGAGTAAATTGATCAGGAAGAAACGAAAAAGAAGTAGAAGTAAAAGAAGAGAGCGAGAGAGAGAGAGTCCAGCTCAGCTTACACTGGAGGAGCTGCTGCTGCTGCTGTGCTGTTCAAGGCCTGTTTCGGAGCAGGTATGTAAGCCAATCTATCCACACCGAAGTTCACAACTGTCACCGGTGCCATATGAAACAAAATATTCAAAAAGATACCGAACGTGCAAGTAAAGATTAGAGAAAAAAAAAAAGTGTTCCAGATGCTCCGTGGAAGGTGAGGAGGGGAAGTAATGAGTTCCGATGGTAGGAGGAAGGGACAATAGACGTACAACCCTAGTAGCACAAGAACAGAAAGGTAGATTAAAACACAACCAAACAAATATAAGTAGTGGTAGTTTGGTAGTATAAAGATGAGCACTGGTGTTGGTAGTGATGGTGGTGATGATAATGGTGATGATGATGATGATAATGATAATAATAATGATGATCACAGCAGGGGAGAGAGATAGAATTAAAGTAACCCAGACGGGGGAAAGATATAATAGTGGCAGATTCACTGGTGGATTCTCCCAGTAAGGTATAGTAAGAAGATCTGCTTCTGCTCTGCTCTGCTTTGCTCTTGCTCTGCCTCTGGTGTTTCCTCTTCTCTCTTTAGAGTAGCGCTTTAGTAATGGCTATAGGGGGTCGAACCAAGAGAAAGAGATTAAAGGTAAGAAAAGTAACCTGGGAAATAAAATAATAAAATCAAAATCATCCACTGTTTATTTTTATTGAGAAAGGAAGGGTAAAAAATCATTTTCCCCCCTCAGCTCAAAAAAAAAATAAAATGGGAAAGTGAGATAAAATAATAATAAGGAAAATAAAAAAAGCGACGAGAAGAATAACCCCAAAAAAGAAAAAAAGAAAAATAAGAAAAGATCGAGGCGGCACCCCCTTCCTGGTGATCAGAAAAACCAGGAAACATCGCAGGCAATAATGAATGAGTGGAAAGGCCAGTCAGACTAGACCAGAGCCGGGTACGGAGCGGGTGTTGCAGGGAACGCCAAACGGCCAGACGGGGTCTTACTCTTGCTAAAAGAGTCAAGAGACAGACAGACAGATAGGACTGTTGTGGACGGTGGACGATGGACACTGGACACTGGACACTGGACACTGGACACTGGATACTGGACAGTGACTGGATTGTAGTGGTAGCCCGGAGAGATTTCCCTCTCTCCCCCAATCTCTTTCCATTCCCCTCGCGCGCAGGCTCGCTCTACTCTCAGAATAGTCATTGAGAGCGAGCGAGCGACCGGCGTATGCAGCGGGGAGAAAAGAGAGGGGGGCGACCCAGACTGGTAGACTAGGTCCGAGCAGAACCAAAGAGGTAGAAGACGAAAGACGGATGGGTGGGTGCAACTAGTGATCCCAAGGAGGAGGACGAGCCCGCCAGAGGACTGGCAACAGTGGATCTCCCCCGGCCCATGAAGCCCATCGCGGGTCCATCAACTGCTCCTCTTCCCAGGCTCCTTCCCTCATTCCCTCCCCCGAAGACCAGACGGTAAGGCCCGACAGTCTAGACGGCAAACCCACCCAGCGATGTAAAAGGAAGGACTTAAATGATTCATACAACCACAAATAGAGACGGAACCCAGAGAAACTGAGGCCGGGAAGAAATTACATGGACCGAAGAAAGTGAGAACCAGAATAGCTGCGAAGAAAGAGAGGGAGGAAGAGAGAGAGAGAGAGGGGCAGAGGGAGAGGGAGAAACATGGAGCAGAGCAAGAGCAGACAGTAGTTTAGGAGAGTGAGACTACCAACTGGGGAGGAAATATGGAACCATGAAATAGATGACACACGACTTTCACTAATGACATTATCATCCACGAGGATGTTTAGGGGGGAGACGAAGTAAAGAAAAAGAATAAGTAAGAAGAAAAAAAGGTCAGGAGAAAAATTACAACCTCAATAAAAACGAACACAACAACCAAATCAGGAACCCAACTCAAGCCCATACATAATGATGATGCGTAGAGGATGGAAGTCAAGCAAGCAAGTGGAGGTTCAGGGGAGACTGACTGACAGACTGACTGATTGACTTACTGAAGAAATTGAGGCAAACCCGGCGGGGATGGGAAAAGCAGGTACCCCGTTTCACCTCGCTCCTTGGGGGACACAACCTTAGCTGCTGAAGCAGCTAATTTTGACGTTCGATATCCTTTTGCGCAACTATCTTGCTTCCACCCGCCTGCTGCTTTGTCTTCTCCGTGTTCCGAGTGATGCCAAACACGAAACAACGAGCCTCGCCCGACACAACGGATAGTAACGAGGGCACACGAGTTTGACTAGCAGAAGTGCGAGAATTAAACTACACGAAAAGGAAGTAAGAGTGGATCGTTAGAGGAAGATGAAACGTAGGGATGCGACAAGAGCCAAACAAGCCCCAGAAAGACTAAAGGCGTTAATGGCAGGTACTGCACCAGAGTGATGGACACTGGGAAAGAAGAGAAAAGATGGGAAATGATGATGGTGATGATGGTGATGGACGATGGAAAAAGCGGATAGATTCGGGAAGGGGCCAAGGACGGACTTAAAAGGAACCTCGAAGGATTAACCTGAACGTGGAGAGGTAGGAGGTAAATTTGGGGGGGGGAGATACATTTACAAGTCGCAGATCCAATGAGACTCGATCAAATTAGTACTCAGTACTAGTACTCATAGGATTGAGTGGCTGGTGATTGATTTACTGCTGAGAGGAAGCAGTGCTCTCAGATCAATTGAACCAGGCATAGTAAATCGGTGGTCGCAATATCTACGGAGTACAGTACACAGTAAGTTACCAGTCACACATCCACCCCCATCCCACTTCACTCTAGCCCATCGTTGTAGATCTAGTGTAGCAATAGTCTTCGTCCCTGTACCATGGGAGCGAAAGGTGGAGCTTCTTGAACTGGGGTATCCATAATACATGAGTACTAGTTATATTTGATTATATTAAGATGAGATCCTTAGACCACACTCAATCCACCCACTCCTGCTTTAATCCTAACTTCCTAATATATCTCTAGTAGCAGTACTAGCATCACCTGCGGGATGATGAGGATCAAATTAAACAGATAGACCTAGGGCCCAGGGGGTCCGGCTTGGGAGAAAGGCCTAGCAGAGGAGGGGGAGGCTGTGTCTTCGGGTAACTAACTAATTGCTGGTACTATGTAGGTGCTGTACATGCACACGTATAGTATGTGAGAGCGTGTAAGCCGCCTGGCGCACAGAGAGGGAGAGAGAGAGAGAACATGCACTTGTGAGCATGGACTGATTATCTTGTATCGTGTCCGAGCAGCAGGTCACCGGATCTTTCTTGGAATGATGGTGGGATGATGGGATGAGGGAGTAAGAAAGCAATCAATCAATCAATCAAACAATCATTCTTCGGAGGAATTTATTGTGAAGCATCGGACAATCTCGCTCTCTTTGGATGACCATCCCATCCCATGATGTCTATCTGTCAGTCAGTCAGTCAGTCAGTCAGCCTGGCTGGCTGGTTTCCAGTCACTTCCTCATCTATAATCCATTCCCCTCTCAGTCTCGCTAAGCTAACAGCGCTTGGCCCGTGAACATCCACGGACGGATTGAGTGAGGGGTTGGCTGCAGCGGGTGGAGCCCAGCCCATCCAACCACGGCTCCGCCCCTGACGAGGTATTGATGTGCACCGGTCATCGAGCCTGCTGCTGCTGCTGATGCTACTACCGCTGTAACTACTGCTACACTCAGTATTTCTCAGTGAAGTGGACGTCCACTGCTGCTCAACTCTGGAGATGGGAAGTGGTCTGTTTATTTAGTTAAGCTATATACTGTACTTATTACTTGTCACTTACTCACTATTCTAGACTACTCGGTGCTGTACTCAAGTAGTCATTACCCGTCACTGTTCCCTCAGCCACTGCC